AAAAAAAAAAAAAAAAGAAACCAGCTTAACATGTTAGTATTACAATAGATATTATGAAATTGGCTTTTTTAAGGGAATCAACCTCAAATTTTTGTTCCCTTTGAAACTAATCTCCCATCACTGAAGGGTAAGTACTATCCTGATTTCTAACAGTGTAGATTGGCTTTTGTCCTTATAATTTCAGTAAATGAAATCATAGCTTACATTATTTTAAGATTTTATTTTCTTGAGCTAGAGTGAGAGAGCACAAGAAGGGGTACAGCAGTAGAGGGAGAGAGAGAAGCAGACTTGTCATCAGTTACGGTACTTGGTTAGTTTTTTACTTTCTTGTGGCAGAGAGATGGAAAGATGACCAAGAAAACTGCATCAGTACCTTTTTCTTGCACTTAGTCATTGTGTTTTCCTGGAACATAATGTTCCCTTTCCATGTGACCAGGCAGGAAACAAATGGGATAAGGGAAACAAGTCTTTTTTTTTTTTTTAAGATTTTATTTATTTGAAAGAGAAAGCGAGAATAGGAACACAAGCAGGGGGTTGGGAGAGGGAGAAGCAGGCTTCCCGCTGAGCAGGGAGCCCAACATGGAGCTCGATCCCAGGACCCCAGGATCATGACTTGAGCCAAAGGCAGATGCTTAACCACTAAGCCACCCAGGTGCCCCAGGGAAACAAGTCCTGTAGAGCCATCTCTCCCATTATGAACACCTTTCAAGGTGTCTTGGAGTCCAAAGCTTTTCAGTATCAGGTGCTGGGATGTAAATGCAGGCTAGAAACTGCTCCCAAGTTCACTTGCCAGGCCACTATGCAGTTAAACTGGATGGTTCATGTTTGTTTCTTCTGATGTGGGCCCTTCTGAGACTGCAAAGAAATGAGGCTAATGCTGCAGTGAGTTTTTTGTGGGCACACACACCTGAGACGACTCCTGACCTTTCATGGTGTTTTAGTTCAGTAGGGCAAATTCATGGAATGTCTTGGGTTTCGGTTTTTTTTCTTGCCTAATATGTATACCTCAGTCTGCCGTAGACTGACCTATTCATTGTTTTAAACCCCTGTGAGGTTTCTAGGCTATTTAAGGAATTCTGTCATCAACAAGACCCCCATCTAGACTGAAGCTTTCTAGTCAGTCACTAGCTGGAAATAAACTGTGAAGTTGTGTCTTTTTAGAAAGCAAGGGTCAGAAGTTAAGATGGGTTTTTATTAACTGAAATCTGGAAAAGATGACAGACATGCTTAGGGACACCTGGATGGCTCAGTCGGTTAAGCATCTGCCTTCGGCTCGGGTCATGATCCCAGGGTGCTGGGATCGAGCCCTGCATTCCCCCACTTCCCCCTGCTTGTGTTCCCTCTCTCACTGTGTCTCTCTCTCTCAAATAAAATCTTTAAAAAACAGTTTTTTTAATCTAGTGATAACTGGGGCGCCTGGGTGGCTCAGTTGGTTAATCTAGTGATAACTGTGCCCTCGGTCCAGAGGCTTAAGAGAGATCTAATAGATACGCTACAATGTAGGAAATACCAGTGTTTGCGAGTACAGACATTGGCTCCAAGGTTATCTAAGAAAACAGAATCTCCTTGCCATACGATTTTTGATACCTCTTGAAAAACTAAGAAGTCTACTTCTTAACCCTATTCAAGATCATAAGCTTAAATCCAGTGGCATGCCCCCAGTGATCACAAATTTTTACTACTGCCTGTTTTGGCTTACCTAGAGTCTACCCTATATCCTTATTTCCCACAGTAGCCTAAACATTGGAAATCGGAAGATGGAAACATTGCAAAGGTGGTGCTATGTTATTGCTGACACTATAGCTAGTTTTATCTAATACATGCTATGGAAAGATGGGTACAACATTGAGGAAACCTTTCCATCTTAAAGGTACTGCTTAAAAGATCACTTAATAAAGCCACCATTTCCATGCACAAACCCATTCCTTCCATGCACATCTCCTACCCTTTAATCTTGCCTGTTTTATCCAGGTTCTAACCTGTTAAGCACTGACAATTTCCTAGACATGATACTAAAATGACCATCGTCAGGCTCCTGCTTTCATAGAAATCTGTGAGTTTCATCTTCAGGATGCCAACGTTTCTACTCAGGCTTGTTCAGGTTGGACCTCAAGTGAGGCTGCTCTTGCTACCTTTGAGAAGAAACACATTACTCAGAGAAAAAGTATTTAAGAAATAATTTGCCATGTTCTTCCTTTATTCTCCCTGGCCTGTTCTTTGTTTGTTTTTGTTTTTACTATTTTATTTGACAGAAAACACAAGTAGGCAGAGAGGCAGGCAGAGTGAGGGGAGAAGCAGACTACCTG